CAGTGGGAATTGAACTTGTACTCAACCGCTTGGGGGTGTGACAACTTCACCACTTCACTAAGTCGCCACACCCTAAATTTAGAACATATTATCTTACTAAGACTTTCTCATAGTGTTTATGAAATAGTTCCCATCACTCATGATCAGACTCCATTTTATAGCAATAATGATATATATAAGGTTTGGGGTTCAAAAGATAAAAACATGCTCATAACAAGTCACAAAAACTTAGCATGCATATTAGCTATTTCATCTGTCAGTCAATTGAACATTTCAACCTTTCAGAGTATAAATGTTATGTAAATAATCTGTTTCTTGATGATTTGCATATTAAACTTAAATATACCAGAGTCTGTATTATTATTTATCCAAGTTCAAATTGAGATAGTTGGTAGATGTATAATTATTTTATTAATCAAATAACTGAACATGCTATACCAATATTTAAATAAACGCATCCTAATAAAATAGCACTGTTTATGTTTAATAATAGTAGTAATTATAGTGTATTTGCTGATGATGCTTTATTGGTCTCATGAATGAATATAGATGATAGTACTAAAATGCTACTTCTTCATAATGATATTAAGCCGGATGGTTCTCCATATGTGATGACATATATAGATGATAAAGATGTTGTAAAACCTAAAAGAATTTGGCAAGTACTTGAGAAATATGATTTATGAATACAAGGTCTTATAAAATGGTATAATGTATATAAAAAAATAGACCAGATCGAATATTATTATATCAATATAAATATATATTAGTATTATTTATATTTATATAAAATAAAAATAACGAATACTATATTTACCTTTACAGGGATTTCTCATACGAAAGAAGAATTGTAATAGGTTGCTTTTTTAAATTTTATAGTATAGTAGGATAGCTCTTTAAAAAGTGAATACCCTTCTATAGCATAGAAAAATTGCTTGCATGCTCATGTTTGTAAAAATATAAATGGCTGAAACTACATAAAATATAATTTTTAGTCTAAATTAGTATATACCAACCATAAAATTTTAATTAATACAAATGAAGTTAAAAGATATTTACATTTTTCCAGTTTTGCTAAATCTACTCTTCAAATACTTCTTCGTTAATGTCCTTAGTAACATTATTAAAGATACTGACACAGTCTTTTTAGGATTGCTACAGCATGAACAGCCTATATGCAAAAAAAAAAATGATATTTCTACCTTTATAAAAAAAATTAAAAACAATTGCCAATTCCTTTTCTAGATTCATAGATTAAAAAATCTTAATTTTTTTACAAAAGTAAAAGGTATTCTGTTAAGGAGAGGTTCTACAAGAAAGAAAAACACTCTATAAGAAGAAGATTCTGCAAGGAAGAAAGGCAGGGTTTTGCAAGAAAAAACATTTTGAAAAGAGAAGGTTTTGCAAAAAAAAATATTTTAAAAGGCTCAAGGCATTCCACATAAAAAGAAATATATTCTGACAAAATTAAGTAAAAACAATTTCTATCTGAACTTATTGGTATTTAAGGCAAACTTCAGAGATACTTTGGTGCTTTGGAGCATTCTGGTGCTTTGGAGCATCTTGGTGCTTTGGGTATCTTGGTGCTTTGAGTATCTTAATACTTTGGCATTGCAGTGGCATTGTGAAAGTTTATATTCTAATTAACACAACAAAAAAAAAATGTTTATTAATTTTTTTTTATAGCTAACTAATCAAAGTAAACGTAATATGACTTGATGTGACAAGAAAATTTTCTTGTTTACATTATTAATTGGGCTTTTATAAAAGTTGTTTAGGCCATCCTCAACTTAAAAGTCTAGTATCACCACCCTAAAAAATTTTGCTAACTATGTGATCACTATGTAATCTTATTAAAAAAACTGTTTTGCAATTAGTTTAGGGTTAGGGTCTTACCAGTAGGTTGATGTTTGGTTTAGAGGGTTATAGTTATAGTAAAATTTTATGAGAAATTTTTTTTTAGTACGCAGAAGGCACTTTCATAGGCAAAATTTTGAGCTACAAGCATTTTTTTGTTGTTTTGATTTTTTTGCACTTCTTTTCATTATACAAGATCTTAAAATCTGATTGGTCAGTGAAATTAATTAGGGTGGTGATTTAATTGCTGTTTCTTCAACTATAGATAAGGCTCAGATTAACTTTCTATCAAAATTATAGATCAAAATTCATCAGATTTAGGCTGGCATTTAAGAATACATAACAACTAAAAAGACCCTAGCTAAAAACTTTTACTAGTAAAAAATTTTGCTATTAAGTTAGATTTTAAAAACTTTTCTAATACCAAAATTTTGCAAGAAAAACTTTTTGTTAATGTACAAAAAGCAGTTTTATATGTAAAATATTAAGCTATAAATGATTTTTGGGTTGTTTTGATTTTTTTCATTTCTTCTACCTGATCTTGAAATCTGATTGGCCAGTAAAATTTTTGAGTGGTGATTATGAAAATATTTCTCTGAGACTATGTTGATTTTGTGATAAAAATTAAATTTGCCAGCTATCTGATTATTCAATTTGAATAAAGTTTTTTTATTTTGTGAATCTTAATAGAATCTACAAATTAAAAATAAAAAAAAAATATTCATTCAACTTGAATAATTAGAAGGTTGTCAAATTTAATTTTTATTTACAAAATCAACATAGCTTTGGAGGGTTATTTTCATAGCAAAGATCAACACTAGCCCACTCTAGTGTATTTTAACTAATCTTCTAAATTTGGTTGTACCAATAATCTCTTCATATCAAATACTATATAAGAAATTTACTCTTTTAGCTTGATTATAATCATCTGTTAAGCATATTTATGATACAAATAAATTTCTAAGTTTTCTAATAATCTGTAAGCACAATACATGAGAATAAGTTTATTGATCACTGAAATAAATTAATATAACAATTGATAACATTACCATATTGTCAATTTTTTATACTTTTTTTTGTATTGATATCAAAAATATATACTGTATACAATGAAATCACTTTTTTAAATTTTATAAAAATTAGATTTTATAGAAATTTGTTATTAACATATTAGAAAACAAAATAATACTATCAATCATCTATGTACTTTATTTATTCATCCTTTTTAACTACAATTTCTTTGTTATACAATATCAATATTAAAAGTCTTACTAGCATTACTCATCTCTGCTAATATTAGAAAATAGAGTTTTGCTTTATGTTTATCCTTTTTGACTCCAATTCCTTTGTCATAGTAATAT